AAACCGTACTGCCCAGCCCTACTTGTAATGGGATTACATATATTTAACCTAACCCTAACCCTGACTCACCCTCAGCTGGTCTGGCTCTCCCTGTCTCACTCTCAGCTAGTCTGGCTCTCCCTGTCTCACTCTCAGCAGGTCTGGCTCTCCCTGACTCACCCTCAGCTGGTCTGGCTCTCCCTGTCTCACCCTCAGCAGGTCTGGCTCTCCCTGACTCACCCTCAGCTGGTCTGGCTCTCCCTGTCTCACTCTCAGCAGGTCTGGCTCTCCCTGACTCACCCTCAGCTGGTCTGGCTCTCCCTGTCTCACCCTCAGCTGGTCTGGCTCTCCCTGTCTCACCCTCAGCTGGTCTGGCTCTCCCTGTCTCACTCTCAGCTGGTCTGGCTCTCCCTGTCTCACCCTCAGCTGGTCTGGCTCTCCCTGTCTCACCCTCAGCAGGTCTGGCTCTCCCTGTCTCACTCTCAGCAGCACTGGCTCTCCCTGTCTCACTCTCAGCTGGTCTGGCTCTCCCTGACTCACCCTCAGCTGGTCTGGCTCTCCCTGTCTCACCCTCAGCAGGACTGGCTCTCCCTGACTCACCCTCAGCTGGTCTGGCTCTCCCTGTCTCACTCTCAGCAGGTCTGGCTCTCCCTGACTCACCCTCAGCTGGTCTGGCTCTCCCTGTCTCACCCTCAGCTGGTCTGGCTCTCCCTGTCTCACCCTCAGCTGGTCTGGCTCTCCCTGTCTCACTCTCAGCTGGTCTGGCTCTCCCTGTCTCACCCTCAGCTGGTCTGGCTCTCCCTGTCTCACCCTCAGCAGGTCTGGCTCTCCCTGTCTCACTCTCAGCAGCACTGGCTCTCCCTGTCTCACTCTCAGCTGGTCTGGCTCTCCCTGACTCACCCTCAGCTGGTCTGGCTCTCCCTGTCTCACCCTCAGCAGGACTGGCTCTCCCTGTCTCACTCTCAGCAAATCTGGCTCTCCCTGCCTCACCCTCAGCTGGTCTGGCTCTCCCTGTCTCACCCTCAGCAGGACTGGCTATCCCTGTCTCACTCTCAGCAAATTTGGCTCTCCCTGCCTCACCCTCAGCTGGTCTGGCTCTCCCTGTCTCACCCTCAGCAGGACTGGCTCTCCCTGTCTCACTCTCAGCAAATCTGGCTCTCCCTGCCTCACCCTCAGCTGGTCTGGCTCTTCCTGTCTCACTCTCAGCTAGTCTGGCTCTCCCTGTCTCACCCTCAGCTGGTCTGGCTCTCCCTGCCTCACCCTCAGCAGGTCTGGCTCTCTCTGTCTCACCCTCAGCAGGTCTGGCTCTCCGTGCCTCACCCTCAGCAGGACTGGTTATCCCTGTCTCACTCTCAGCAGGTCTGGCTCTCTCTGTCTCACTCTCAGCTTGTCTGGCTCTCCCTGTCTCACTCTCAGCTGGTCTGGCTCTCCCTGACTCACCCTCAGCTGGTCTGGCTCTCCCTGTCTCGCTCTCAGCAGGTCTGGCTCTCCCTGTCTCACCCTCAGCTGGTCTGGCTCTCCCTGTCTCACCCTCAGCAGGTCTGTCTCTCCCTGTCTCTCCCTCAGCAGGACTGGCTCTCCCTGTCTCACTCTCAGCAGGCCTGGCTCTCCCTGTCTCACTCTCAGCTAGTCTGGCTCTCCCTGTCTCACTCTCAGCTGGTCTGGCTCTCCCTGTCTCACCCTCAGCTGGTCTGGCTCTCCCTGACTTACCCTCAGCTGGTCTGGCTCTCCCTGTCTCACTCTCAGCGGGTCTGGCTCTCCCTGACTCACCCTCAGCTGGTCTGGCTCTCCCTGCCTCACCCTCAGCAGGTCTGGCTCTCTCTGTCTCACCCTCAGCAGGTCTGGCTCTCCGTGCCTCACCCTCAGCAGGACTGGCTATCTCTGTCTCACTCTCAGCAGGTCTGGCTCTCTCTGTCTCACTCTCAGCTTGTCTGGCTCTCCCTGTCTCACTCTCAGCTGGTCTGGCTCTCCCTGACTCACCCTCAACTGGTCTGGCTCTCCCCGTCTCGCTCTCAGCACGTCTGGCTCTCCCTGTCTCACCCTCAGCTGGTCTGGCTCTCCCTGTCTCACCCTCAGCAGGTCTGGCTCTCCCTGTCTCACCTTCAGCAGGACTGGCTCTCCCTGTCTCACTCTCAGCAGGCCTGGCTCTCCCTGTCTCACTTTCAGCTAGTCTGGCTCTCCCTGTCTCACTCTCAGCTTGTCTGGCTCTCCCTGACTCACCCTCAGCTGGTCTGGCTCTCCCTGTCTCACTCTCAGCAGGTCTGGCTCTCCCTGTCTCACCCTCAGCTGGTCTGGCTCTCCCTGTCTCACCCTCAGCTGGTCTGGCTCTCCCTGTCTCACTCTCAGCAGGTCTGGCTCTCCCTGTCTCACCCTCAACTGGTTCCTGCTGAACTTCATCTGATCTCTAATATAAAAACAGCGGACAGGAATAAGGAGTAAAAATACTGTTGGACGACTAGTGCAACATTAAAATCATGGTTGTTATAGTATTATTTAGTCGTGTTCACTTGTTATCATGCTCGAATCTTCCTCTCATCATCAACCATCTAAAATCTCACTCCACTGTAGCACCTACCTGCACCTCAGCAGGTCTGGTGCTCCCTGTCTCTCCCTCAGCAGGTCTGGTGCTCCCTGTCTCTCCCTCAGCAGGTCTGGTGCTCCCTGTCTCACCCTCAGCAGGTCTGGCACTGCCTGTCTCACCTTCTTCATCATTTTCCTGCTGAACTTCCTCTGATCCCATATGAAAAAGGTGACATGAATAAGGTTTCAAAATAAAATGTGATGAGAATGTCACAAACAAGCAACAATCACACTTACAAATTCCATTTTCATGTGGAGATTCTACTTTTTTATTTATTTCGTGTCGAATGGTTTTTGTCTGTTACTGTCAAATTCACCATTTTTTGTTGACTAGTAGTGTTGTTTAATGTTTAATGCTGCCTAGCAAGATGTTTATGTTAGTCAGCCAGTCTAACGTTTGACCAGAAATACAATCATCCTCTTGGACTAAATTATTACCAACTCACAATTCCTTTCTTTCTTTTTTTGCCCATGACAAGAACTCGCTGAGCTGCTGCCGTCCCGGCTCCGACTCCCGCTTCACTCAGCCAACCTGTCTGACTCCCCGAGGGGAGGGTCTGTGTCTTTGAGAAGTCCACGGTGTCTTTCAAAATAAAAGCTTGCGGGTCAAATATTTCAAAATCAATTTTTTTCTTCTCCATGTTATTGGAGGGGATAAATGCGCGTTTGTCCAATATTGAAGGGGACACGTCCCACCCATCCCCCCCGGTTCCTACGCCCTTGGTCAGGTTTGACCCCCGGTGCAAAGAAAATAAAACATTTTACTGATTTTGAATTTATTTATGCCTCTTAATCTGATTAATCCATGTACATTTCATGAAATGTAAGCGTAATAGTCTATAAAGTTATGTCTGTCTTACCATTTCTCAGAACTGAGGCTATTTAGGAATCCATCCGGTATATAACATAATAACTATCAATAGCTTTTACCCAAAACCCACTTTGAAATGGCAGAACACTTCCATAGAGACTCAACGTGCATGTTAGCATTCAAATGGCTGGCAGGATTTAAGAAATACAGCCCTTTCAATAATTTTTTTCATACATGCACTAAGCCTATGATAATAAATTAAATGTGTATTTTCTTCTAAATTCACCCTCTTAATACTACTTACGCAGCCTTACAAGTGATGCATGCCACCATGTTTCAGTGTCTTCTGAAAATGTGTTTCCTTCCTGTTGCAGGCTGATTTTAGATCCATCCGTCAACTGCTCTGACTTCTTAAGCTCTTTAGTTTAGTTTTGTTTAGTTTTGAAAGCCTCGTCTGGCTTTTCTATTTCTGAGGTTTATGAATGGTTTGCATCTTGTGGTGAACCCTCTTGTTTTTACTCCCATGAAGTCTTCTTTTTATGCAAGGCTTGGATAATGATACGTCTGCGTCCTTGAGGGTGTTTCTTCTCATAGCTGCATGTTGTGAATGTGTTTTTCCTACAATCATCCAACACTCATGTCCTCCGTTGCCGTTTCTGCCTCATGTATGCAACTGAACTCACCACTGTGCCTTTTTCTCCCCCTTCCCACTGAATGTACCCAACAGCTGATCTGATCCCTCTTTTAACAACAAGCTAAATCGCTCGCACGCAGGCTGACATAACCACGTTGTGCACCTTAAAGTGCTTTTGTCAGTTCCGTCAGGGAATATTTTACATTTTATATCCAAATCATCACATGGCTCGCATCTGTTCTGGAAACTTCTTAATGTTTGCAGAGCTCAATCTGAAAAGCGTTGGCCTTAATAACAAGAAGCGTTCAGGCAATATCCCAGCTTATCAAGGAGCTGCTGCTCACTGGAGATAAGATCAGCTCCACTTGTCTCCTAAGATAAATTGTGCCTGTGATTGCTGCTCGTATAATCTTCAACAAGCCACCCCCCCCACCCCACCCCAACCCCACAGCATTGTCCCAGAGAGCCTGCTGCCAAAAAAATCAAGAGATTTAATCTCAAATAGAGTTTAATTTTTTACAAAATAAATGAAATAAATAATCGTTTTAAGGGAGTGAGACGATTAGGTCAGACGGGTTATAGACCTATTCATTAGGCACACCCAGTTCTGCAGAAGTGTCCTGACAAGTGGAGCCGCATTTAATATCAGTGACTAGGTCATTAAACCTTTGGGTACTTAATCATCAAAATGAATCACCAACAGCTATGCCTACATTTAAATGAGTTAACTACACATTGGCTGCTGCCATTTGTTCTAGAGTTTCTAACTTAGGGCATTGATGGCATTATTTTGGAAATAATAATAGTAGAAATCTTGTGCAACATCACAAGACGTTGCAGTTAACACTCTAATGTTGGGTGAACGAGTGTGAATGTTAAGTTAAATATTAGAGTTTGGGCTATTTTTGTGTTGTCTGATGCTGAATTGAGTGGGTGTTTCTCTGAAATCAGATGTCCGTCCAGTGGTCTGAGATGTTAGCAAAGATAATAACAGAGTTGAAGCCAATAGGGATTGACACATGACTAAACGTAATACCATGACAGAATATCAGGAATTGTATAATTATTGCCTCAACTCAACACCAAAGTTTTATAGGGAACACGTTATGCAAAACTCACCTTTTGCATCCCTTTGTGCTGCCATGGGGGTCGCTACTAGCCTGGTTAGCTATCCTATATATGTAAATGTATAGTGATCCAGTTGTTTTATGATAATGATGACGACGACGATGTTTGCTTGCTGAACTTACATGGAGGTATGGCTTCTGATAACCTTATGTGTTGCATCTTACTTGTTTCATTTCTTTATTCTTGTTCTTTTTATTCATCACATGGTACGGTAAGAGACATAATGTCCGTTTAGCCCAGGGGTCGGCAACCCGCGGCTCTGGAGCCGCATGCGGCTCTTCCATCCATCTGATGCGGCTCTCTGTGCTCGTAAAATAATGAATGGATATTTAAATAAAATGCTTTATATTTTAGTGCATTAATTTTACATCTGTATGCCAATTCTAAATGTAAAGATTGTCTGCGTAAACCTGAACAGGTCCAACCAGGTGTTACTGTGAGGCCGGGTTGACGGGTCATGCTTGTGCGTAATCATATCGGCGCTTTCTGAGCTGAAGAGGATGTGAGATTCTGGGATTGTCCTCAGACGGCTCCTGGATGCGTCGCCACATTGGAGACAGGAACAAGCACTATTCAGCCAAAGTTTCATAATCAGGGAACATTTTCTAAGTGACAAGTCTCTCTGAGAGACAGGGTTTGGAAAACGCTCGCTTCAGTCGGAGGAATCTTCCCGCATGCGCTCTGGTTCTGCGACGCGCTCCAAGCCCCTCTCCACATCATCAGCTCACTGTGCACCTTACATTCTTACATTTCTATTCTTTCTCCCTCAAAATAAACGGTCAAATACAGGAACTATCCGGTCAACACAAACCTTGCTTTTAACTGTTCTGTTTTCTTGTGAAAATAGATATAATTTAACTTGATTAACACCAGAGCCAGGCGCACTGCGCTGTTATCTCCGTCACTGTAAATGAGGGAAAAACAAGTTGATCGGATCCTTTTCTGACCTTCCCCACCTACAAAGTTTAATTACAACAATCAAACGTGACAGAGCCTGGATTTGTATTCTGAACAGTCTAAACATGTTTTAAAAAGAAACGTATGACAAAAGTGGCACCTGCTCAGTAAAACCACCAACAGGGTGAAAAATATCTAAACGGGCTACAACTTCTGGATCCACTTTATATAAATCGTTTTATTGATTATCTTCTTATGAAAGATAAATTTGATGTACACGAGCGACCAGTACTGGCTGCTGTCACCTGTTGTGATTGGTTAAAGCAGCTCTCTGCTGTCTGAGGGTAGGCCCCGCCCACAACGCCCTGGCTGCTGTGGCTCCCAGTGTTTTCTTTACTGTGGGAAACGGGTAATAATGGCTCTTTGATGGAAACAGGATGCCGACCCCTGATCTAGCCGTTTTTACTAAGCAATGCCATCAATTTGCCACAAAGCCATGGTGGTATCAGGGAGCTTTGAGTTGTTTATAAGTGGTTTTAAGTGATCAGATAATGGTGGCGCAAAGGGGAATGGGGACGGTCTCTGCACTGCCGCAAACTGTTTATCCCAGACATAATTTGCTTTTTATTCCAATAATTATGTTTTTTTTAACATGCCGTTCCTAAAGGTGTCTGTCCCCCACAGTCCCCATCTCTGGTAATCTGACCTCCAGCTCTTATGGAGAAACGCTCCAGGAGCTCTGCATTGCTCCAGATTATCATCTCAGCTGATTCTGTTTACCAAAGCAAAGCTTACGACCCATTTCTACTTTCATTTTCAGTATAGTTAATGGCTATGGCTGGGCAGTAACTTCCCACATGATCATGACTAGGGATGGGTACCTTTGACATTTGAATTGATCCGGTACTAATTCCCGGTACCTACGAATCGATACCGGTACTTAACTATACCAATTTTCAATACTTTTGAGTGTTTATTATTTTAATTCTCTTTTATAATTAAATATATATTTTTCTCAATATATAACAATATTTGATAAATATCACGATAAATAACATTCAACTATTTGTATTTTAACATCGTCCTTGTAGTTTTATAAGCTGAAAATTAAACTGAAGCAAACATCTTTACTGTGAACTAAATTTACTGTGTATCTTCATTCCTTTTGCCGTCTTTATTCATTTGATTTTTCCTACTGGGAAGTTAGAATTTCCGAGGAGAAAGCGAACGCACCATTAGCTGATAACAACGGTGGCAATGGAAGCTAACATATCACGCTAACGTTATCTTAAACAGTTTATTTAGCTGCTGGAGCAGATTAAAACGATGATGCCTCACACTTAGATCGTTGTCGCTGGTTTCATCTTCACCTGTCGCATTTAGTAACGTAAAGCCAAACTTTCAAGCGCGTTCATGTTCTTCTAGTCGGAAATTCGGAGTTCCGAGGATAAAGCGAACGCACCATTAGCAAAACAGAAGCTAACATATCAAGCTAACGTTATCTTAAACATTTTATTTACCTACCGGAGTAGATTAAGATGAGGATGTCTCACTTAGATCGTTGTCGCTGGTTTCATCATCACCCAGTTACCCATCACATTTAGTGAAGTGGACCCAAGCTTTAGCGTGCGTTCTTTCTACCATGCTACTCTGTTTACAACTGGCTCGCAGCGAGCGACGACATAACGCTCTTGCGCATGCGCAGCTGTCTTGGCAAGTTCTCGTTATGAAGGACGGGTACCGAAACGAGGCACCGTTTGAAATGACGTGAATCGGTGCTCGGTCGGTACTATGGAATTTGGTCGGTACCTTAAAAAGTACCGAATTCGGTACCCATCCCTAATCATGACACCACCTTCTGTTGCACCAAGGTGCAAACGCCATTTATAGGATACACGATTACCTCAATATACTACCAAGCAAAGTGGAACTTATGCCGCAAAATTCACACACTGCCATGCCAGCATGGCGCGTTTATAAGACACACCATTGCAGTAACATTACGCTGATTTGCCGGCACGGAGTGTCTTGCAAAATGGGCTTTCACAACTTTCTTTGTTGCAAAGTAACAATGATGTCACAAAACAGCGACATCTCTCTCTTCTCTGTCTTTTGAGCGGACTGGACGTGTAAGGAGACATGTGGACATTATTTTGGACATTTAACTTCACCTCAGTTCAAGTGGCGTTATTGGTTTTATATTATAAAAGACCGCAGCTGTCTAACCCAGCTTTGTAAGGTTGAAGAATCTGTAATCAAGTATTAGCACTGTGGATTTCTCAGTGCCAGCGTGGTTGTGGATCATTAGTTATCTGCTGCATCATCTAAAAATATAACCTGCAAGAAATGCTTTATTGTGTGTATTGATTGGTGGCCAACAGTCAGATTTTGACTTCAGATCATTGCTCTATTTTCATGATTTATAGTTTCACATTAAGGGGCAGCAGTAGCTCAGGAGGTAGTGCCGGTTCTCCAGCAGTCAGAGGGTTTCAGGATCGATCCCGGCTCCCAGTAGAGAATGTTGCTGTTGTGTCCTTGGGCAAGGCATTTCACACCCTTGCCTGCTGGTGGTGGTCTGGAGGGCCTGGTGGCACCTTTGTATGGCTGTGGCTACAATGTAGCTCATCACCAAAAGTGTGTGAATGTGTGTGTGAATGGATGAATGATGCACTCTAGTGTAAAGTGCTTTGCAATCGTCTGACTCTGAAAGGCGCTACAAGTGCAGATCATTTATCATTTAGCATAGCATCTAGTTAGCACTTCACCTGTTTTACATCTGCCTCGGGTGTGAATGCTGGAAATGTAAGATATTCTTGGAAGGTCCTGCCTTCCTCAATGCTTGACAGCCAACAGATATAAGTAAAGTCAAAATAGGACAGAATGGTTATTACTGTAACGTTAAATTCACGTTTTGGCTAAATTTTAGCCAATCGTAAGAGAGCCCTTCTAGCCAATCAGACGCGAGAAAGACAAGACCTTTCTAGAACATCTTGCATTTCCAATATTCACACACTATTAGATGATGTTACACTTCTGTTACACTCCTACAACTCGATAGTAGTCAGACTTGGTAGAGGACAGATTCATGCATAATGACAACTGGTGACATCGCATCAAAACTTTGAGTGAAGTAAATTTGTGCAGTGGATTTGTAGCTGTTTTGGAAATGGCAATATTAATAAACATGTGAAAAAGAAGACCCTGTAGCTTTATTAAACTGCGGGAGGCAAAAAGATAAAGATAAAACATTGCAGAATAAAATATAACATGCCACTGCGGTGGCCCCCCCACTACATGAGAATCGGGACACTCAGGTTGTGGTGGTCATGGCCTTGAGACGCCATGGTGGGCGTCCTTTATTCTTGTATCTGAAAGTTGGCAACCCTAGGTGGAGGAGTAGCAGCTGTACTCCGAGCCCCTCCTGGATATCGGAGCTTCTCAGCCTATAGCAACCAGACCAGGGGATGGGTGGGTGTGGCCGGCTCCAGCTTGTTTTCTCAGTGACAGAGCTTTGAAAGGGCTCATTCTGGAAGGTACTGAAAATGTGGAGAAAAAAACTGCTTGGACCAATTCGTGTGAGAGGGATTTTGTGCAAAGAACTACATTAATATGTTTTCTATCGCCCATAGAACAATTATAACTTTAGAAAAATGATGTCATAATACATTTAATGTTTATAGCACTTGTCATATGTGATAGGGATGTCTAATAGCTAATACCACGTCCATTTTAATTTTAATGTATTCTAAATCTACAGATCAGTTATTTGGGTTGGTAGCAAAGTTGACTCCAAAAGCAAGTCAGTTGTAAAAATAGGTTAAATAAAATCTTTACAAAAGTCATTTTGAAATTTTAGATCATTCTTACTAACAGGCACACATGCAGAACATCCCTGTCTGCCATTTCAGCAATGTTCTGTGATTTTTGTCCTTGTTCTTCAGTAGATTTGTTTTTGTCGGTTCCGTGGACAGACTGGACTGGACTCCCCAGAAACACGTTGCATGCGTCGCCTGCATCTTTAAATCTGCACCAGCTTCCCTCCATCCACCACACCGTGGGACAGAGCTGCTACCTTACAGAGTCTCGCACACACACACATACACACACCGGGTAGGAAATTACTGGAGCGAGAGAGTGCAGCTGATAGGAAGGGAGGGAGGGAGGCTGGAAACAGACGCACGGTGCTGGATTATTTGGGCTGCAGCCGCGGTGGATGTTGTGCAGGCGGACCGAGGGCTCCAATTTGCCTCCACGCTTCGACTTTTTCATTTTATTTCATTCTTTGAATGACGGTCCTCTGCAGGGTGTTGATATGGTGAGCGCATGTCTTGTGATTTTTCTGAACAGCTGTTTAGAAATTGTTGACATGCACAAGAGAACAGCTTTAACTTCTGACAAAATGCATTCCTGTGCAGAGCAGCGATACGCAGCCGTGCTTATCGGTTCTCTCTCTCTCCCTGTGTGTGTGTGTGTGTGTGTGTGTGTGTGTGTGTGTGTGTGTGTGTGTGTGTGTGTGTGCGTGCGTGCGTGTGTGTGTGTCCTGGCTTTCATTAGTTTTCTGACTGTTTCAGGCTTTGTATTACCACAGATTAAACATGCGATAGGAGGTCATACACATCTCAGCTGTCGTTTCCTTCAGTGTTCAGCTCATTTTCTTGTTTTCCTTCAGCCAGCACACTCGTATTAATCTTTAAAATGCTTTCCCTTCCTGTCAAAGGCAATGAGAGGTTATTATTGCAGTTCTTGTTGCTTTAGATCGGCCCTTAAAATGAGGTTTTTAATGCTGACGAGAGCATCAGGAAGCTGTAAAACTGCCTCCGTTAGGGCTGAATCCTCAAAGATGACCAGACCAGACTGGATAGAGGTCTAATGGTGCATGCAGACAGGTGGAGTCTGTTGTGAGCGGGCTCTGTGAATCCATCCATCTCAAACAGGTTACAGTGGATGGATTTCAGTGTGTGTGGGTTCCACTCTATGAGCCTGGATCCAATTTATTTGCAAATGACCCCCCAAAAAAGGAGGATCTCCCTGAAGCGTGCGGACCAAATGCTTCCTTATGCCCACTCACCTGCAACATGTAATGGTTACTTCCTGTTTTGCTGCAGTTTCTGTGTCGTTTTCTGCCACCGCCGTAACTCGGTGACCGTAATGTGCCGTGATATGCCGTATATGTTTGTGTCAGTGTGTTTGACAGCAGTCAGCAGCCTCGCTCAGACGCTGTCTGTACAGCAGCAGCATTACAGACCTCACCAGCTTACCAATCAATCATGCAAGTACTCTCACAGCAATTAGGTGTCAGAGAGTGAGACACATGCATGAAGACACTAATGAGGTAGTGTGCACTTCAGCAGAAGTAAAATAGGTATAAGCTCCAGTAGAAGTGCTTTTCTTACCCAGTACATACGCTGGGAGAGTGTTTCTGTTTTCTTAATTTTGTATGAAGTGAGGCAATGATGTAGTAAAACAGTTAGTTTTAAACCAGCAGGACTGCTTTCGGCACACGAGTAAAGCTGTCTTATGGCCGTGGGCTACTACGTTCAGGTCACATGCCAGTTTGCGGATGAGCAAGTTTAACCCAGCTGATCTTCCATGCCTGTGTGTGTGTGTATGTGCACGTGTTTGTGCATGCCTCTGTAGTTGTTCCACCTATTGAAGGGATAAAATTTCACAAGATGTGATGAACGTCAGCGTCTGCAGAGCCAACCGTGAGTGAGTGTGTGCATGTTGGGGAGTCTCGCCATGTCAGTGAGCACGTAGGGCTAAAACAGGAATGTGTCGCAAAACCGCCAAGTCACTAGAGGGAAGGCTGGTCAGAGGGAGAGGTTAGGGCCAGGGACGTTGATTACGGTGTCCGAGTATTTGGTTCCCACTGAAGAGGTCTGTGGAGTTGGACGGACAGTCGGTCAACTCATCCTCCAGTTAACAAGATCCTGTCAGGGAAGAAAGTGTGAGTTTGGACAGATGTAGACTTTTTAGTATTGCACAAGTCAAATGTCAGGGAGATGTCAAGGATCCCAGTGAGGTTATTTTGAGAGACGGCCTCGTGGTGAAAACAGGCTGTTTCAGTTGAAGCCGGCAGGCGGGGAGGCTCAAGGCTCGTCTTCAGTTAGCCAGCATCCAGCCGCGGCGCTGCCTACAGAGATGATAGGATAAGGAGCCAAGAGGAGTGGAGGAGGAGGACAAACAGCTGAGAGAAGTGAGTCAGACATGGCCATGCAATAGGTTTACCTGGAAGTGAAGGTCTTGGCTCTTTTTTATCACTTGGTCCACTCGTGTCTCAGCCTTCTTGTCCTTTTCTCTGCACGTCTGATGTCCGTCCTCTCCGTTCACTTTTTATAATCCTCAGCCCAATCGACGATATTTGTTTCTGCCGTCTCTGTTTTGTTCTTCGTCAGTTTGTTTAATGCCCATCACTCATTCTCTCCTTTTCCCTGTTTCCATCCATCCATCACACAGTCAGCCTGTGGATTTAGTTTTGCAGCAAAGAAAGCCTTCACCTGTGGAGACAAGCACACAGCGAGGTGTTAAACATTCTACTTAAGACATTGCTCCATTCATCTGTTCCCCACCCTGGCAGGGCTGTGGTCTACGTTATTTGTGGCTCTCATCTTTATGTTTTCCCCACCGTACCTTTATTCCAGCTTCTTTGTCTCCGAACAGAATTGTTTCCTTGTTTCCTGAACGTTTTTTTTTACCAAAGTGGTGTCATAGTGGAGCATGGCGCGAAGGCATTTTTGCTCTGGGACCCACCTTTTTTCTCCCCTGCCGTGTTCTGCTCTCCGTTTCATAACAAAGACGCGCTGGCATCAGATTTCCATGTTTATTACACGGGTTGTGTTTTGCCCTTTGTGTGTTTGTGCAACAAGAAAAGGACAGAAATAGAGGGAAGGCAGCATTAAAGGGTGAGGAAGAACGACAGACTGAGGATGCCTTCACGAACCCCCCCCACCCCTCTTCATGAGGGAGCCAGGCACAACCACAACAATTTCATTTTCCAGCCACATTTACACACATAAAATCACAGAAACATCTTAGCCAATCTTCCATAGTCACAACTTAAGCCTTTCCCTTTTTTCTTCTCCTCTTAGTTAAACATTTATCATCTCAGTCTCTTTTTTTCTGTCTTTGCCGTTGCTCTCGTGTTATTGCTTTCTCCTTGTGTCTTTCCCATCGATGCTGCGCTCCGGTTCCCTCGTCTTCTCTCCCCACAGCACGCATCATGGCTTTACATAGCAAACTAGTGCCAGACCACAAAGCCCTTATTTTCCCTCTGCAGCTCTCTTTCTCCTGCTCTTTTAGACTTTCTCCTTCTCTTCCCGCCTTCCTCGCTGCCGTACGGTTCATAATCTGCAGCAGGAGCTTAGTGGCACGGCTGCAGGACTTCCACATCCCTTCTTTCGTTGAGAATCTTCTGCTGTTTGCAGCCACGTGACCCTTTCTGTCTCCGCTTGTTTTCCGCAGCTGTTTGTTTAGTCGTTCATTCATTTTCAGGTTTTCCTTTTTGCCGGTTCCTTGTTTATCTTCTGGTTTTGTCTCCTCCCCTCTCCCTCTACAGTGGTGGCTGTGTGACATGTGTTTGCATTACGTGTCGCTGTTTTCTTGTTTGATCACCATCAATCTGTGAAACCCCCGTTAAAGGCTCACTGAAAACGTACAGATTCAAATGCAGCCTTTTATACGCTAAAGCTGGCAGTAATGGAAATCTTGGTTTTGTAATATTTTCCAACAATCATTATCAGAGAGTCTGTGTTATAAGAATAGACCATTTTTGGGTTTGGATTTCCCCCAGAAGTCTTAACATCATCAGGGAAAGGATTGTAAAACATATCAAATTATTGCAATAACACAAAAGTTGTGATTTGTTTAAACTTGGGGGGAAATGAACAACTTTATTTAAGATTGACTCCACAGAAGCGAACCCATTTGTTAGCTTTAGCCTTCTTTAACATTTTCACTGTGGGCTTTTCCCAACTTGGAAGCAATTTGTGATTTAGGCCTAGTCCACACGTACCCGGATAAATACGTTGTTAAGGACATGCCAGACCTGTAGGTGGCAGTACTTCCCCCGTTCTTAACCTCGTCCTTCGTCTGTGGTCTTCCGCAAGGAGCAGTAATTCCGCTTGCAAAAACAAACAAGCAAAAAGCGCTTGGACAATTGATAAAGGAGCGCAGCTCTGAGGGCATCCATGCTGTCGGCTAGTGGAAACACAGGTCGCACACGTGATGTCAGCATTTTTTTGTCGCGGAAAGTGACGTTGCGGACCTTAAAACTCCGGTTTTGTCCGTCCACACGCAGACACCCAAAACGGAGAAAACGCAGATCTTCACTTTGGCCGGAGTTTTTAAAAAGATCCGTTTTCGTGTGAAAAAACTCCGTTTTCGTGTGGATGACAGGCCAAAACGTAGAAAAATATCTACGTTTTGGCAGATCCCCGGCTACGTGTGGACACTAGATAGCGGTGCATTTATTACACTGTATCCTAAACACTAAACTATTGTTTTATATGGCTGTGACTGTTTGCAAGTATTTGGAGATAAAACAATTAGAGAAAAATTCCCGTAGAAACCCCATTGAATTATTATGAGCGATAATTTTGCATCAAATTCAATCTGTGATGCTGCACGTATAACTTAAAGCTGGAAGCTAACATATCAAGCTAACGTTATCTTAAACAGTTTATTTAGCTGCTGGAGCAGATTAAAACGATGATGCCTCACACTTAGATCGTTGTAAAGTGAAGCCAAACTTTAGAGCGCGTTCATGTTCTTCTAGTCGGAATTTCGGAGTTCCGAGGAGAAAGCGAACGCACCATTAGCGAAACGGAAGCTAACAAATCAAGCTAACGTTATCTTGAACATTTTATTTACCCACCGGAGCAGATTAAGATGAGGATGTCTCACTTAGATAGTTGTCGCTGGTTTCATCATCACCCAGTTACCCATCACATTTAGTGGAGTGGACCCAAGCTTTAGCGTGCGTTCTTTCTACCATGCTGCTCTGTTTACAACTGGCTCGCAGCGACCGACGACATAACGCTCTTGTGCATGCGCAGCTGTCTTGGCAAGTTTTCATTATGAAGGACGGGTACCGAAACGAGAAACCGTTTTAAATCGGTGCTCGGTCGGTACTATGGAATTCGGTCGGTACCTTAAAAAGTACCGAATTTGGTACCCCTCCCTACCTATAATATCACTATCCTGCATGTTTTAGATGTTTCACTGCTCCAGCAAAGCTTATCCAAGTGAGCTGGTTCTTAACGAGCATCTAGAAAACCTTTAAGCACATCTGATTCAAATTGTGGAACTGCCTTAACA